GTAGACTGCAGATATAGTAACTAGTATAGAAGCTGCTATGCAAGTAGACTACTTAAAATAGACAACCAAAAGTTATAGTATAGCTAGTTTTAGACTCACCTTGTACAAGTTATGTAATTATAATTAAAATATAATAAAGGAAATAGCTACTAATAACTATGACTTTAGTAAAAGCAAAAAAAAAGAATTTTGTTAAAACACTATATTATTTAACAAATAAACAGAATATAAAAGTTCAAATAATGCAAATAGTAAAAATTATTTGATTTTTATATTATTTATAGTATTTTTATAAAAATTAACTATAATTTATTAAATTAAATAAGTTTGAAGACAGAATATTGCAACAAAAATATTATCAAGCAAATCAAAAAAAAATATTAAAACTATAAGTTCTTATAAATTTACAAATTTAATTTGGACATTTAGTTAAATAATGCTTAAAAACTTATTAACAAACAATTAAAAAATTATAATTTAAAATTTAAAATATATTTTGAACTTAATAATTTATTAAAATATTTAGATATATATTTTAATACAATAGATATAATGAGTAGAATGTAGTAACCTAGTGAAGTAAATAGGTTGTTAATCTTCAAGTAACAGGTCTAGAGTTCAAATTCTAGTAATAGTAAAAATTTGCAATTCTTTCTGTATTCTAGTTAACTGTTTTCAAAATTAGTTGGAATTAGATATCTGTAACTTGTGTTATATCAGCATAACTGAAAGATTAAGCACTTATACAATGTTGTACAAAAAAACACAAACTGGTATCAGGTGGTGTGAACCCAAGATATGTTCTTAGACTATATAAATTATAAGAACCAGATAGGAAAACAGAAGCCTATTTAAAAGACTTGAGTAAAGAGATAACCTGAACTTTTGACAATGCTACTGTTAAGACTAGACCTATAAAATAAAGCTAAAACTTGTGAAACTAGACAAATGTGCTAGTTTTTGAAAAGGAACCAGATAAACCAATCAGGCTGCTAAATTATTAGATTTTGAAAAAAAGAGTATATGCTACAAATATGTAAACCAGAGGTGTATAGTTACGACTACCTTTTCTGACTATCTGAAATGGCAGCTTGGTAAAACTTAAATTGAATACCAATGTAGTAAGAATATATTGTGAAGTCAGTACCAGAGTTGGAATAAACTCTACAAGACATAGAAGTTTAATGATATGTTCTAACTACCAGTATTGATCTTGGTCATAACAATATCAAATCAGCTATAAAAATAGAATACAGAAGATTTTAAAAGGTTTAGTACAAGTTTAATGATTCCAAAGAACTACTTTAAAAACTTAGTAGCTATAGCATATTTTTACTAGCATCTGCTAAAATCATTAGTAGACAGAAGTAGGTGAGTGAATACAAAAACTAGAATAGTTAAATAAGAAACTTATAAGCAGGTTTCAGATATAACAGCTAGTGTAGAAACTTTAGACAAACTACTTAATTAGACAATAACTAAAGTTGTATGAGTGACTAGTTGTATACTCTTTCTATAATTTTTTTCTGTAGTTGTAATGCAACTATTAGCCAAATATACTATTAATAAAATTCTGAATTACAAGTACTCATCTTAATATTTAAAAAAAAAAAAACAATAAATATAATAAGTTTAGATCATTATATTATTAAAATATATAGTTTAGTAATCTTAGAAAATAGATTTATGAAGGTGTGATAATCTAGTGAAGTAGATAGATTGTCAACCTCCAAGTAACAGATCTAGAGTTCAAATCTCAGCAATAATAAAAATTTGCAATTCTTTCTGTATTATAGTTAACTGTCTTTTATAATTGGTTAGGATTAGATACCTGTAACCTGTATCATACTAGCATAACTAAAAAGTCTAAGCATTCATACAATGTTGTATAAAGGAACACAAACTAGTACCAGGTAGTATAAACCCAAAGTAAGTTCTTAGGCTATATAAATTACAAGACCCAGCTAGAAAGATAAAAGCCTATTTGAAAAATCCAATTAGATAAGTAATCTGAACTTTTAATAGAGCTACTATAAAGACTAGACCTATTAAATGAAGCTAAAACTTGTAAAACTGAACAAATATGCTGGTCTTTGAAAAGAGATCAGATGAACTAACCAGGCTACTAGAATTTTTTTTTTTTTTTTTGGTATTAAGGTGACCTCTTTGGTCTTTTGACTTTTATTAATCACTTATCGGTATTGTAGTTCAATGAACCACTACAGGAGAGTGTACAATTGGCTACATGTGTAACTTTTCTATATTACCTATTTAAGGAGTCCACCTGAAGGTTCCCCACCAATTGCCATACCTAACACCTCTGCTTGGATGTTCCACTTTAAACCCTCTGAACCTGTAACCTGTGTTAACATCACTGATCATCACAGATGTACCAGATTATTATCCTCAACCTTAGAACTAATTTATCCTTAAGGTAAACCTTCTAGAGCCTTCTGTACCTATTTTTATAGCTGACTTAGGTATCACTATGGCAGAACCAACACTTGCAATCAGGACTAACCATTAAACCGTTATGCCCTTATAGAGTTCACTTAGACTCCAGCATCTACTTCATAGCATAATTTTGGTACTTTAGTATACCTTTGCCTTTTCTCCTGCTCTTTTACCAAACTTCCAATCCAGATAGCCCATGTAGAACTATAACCAGTCCATCAGTATATCAGGTTGGTCCAATATTCTTTTCCTTCAGTTCATTCTAATGGTCTGGTTGATGGTACCTCTGAGACTCCCAACCCAAAGGTTCTTGCCTGTCTGGCTACTAGAACCAGGTACTAAACCTGAGTATCCATTTCTCCAGGCTAGCCTTTACAGTAGAGCTGTTAAAGATCCAGTTACTTCTCTACTCGGGTCTTCCTAAATAGACTTCTTGTTACTCAATTTCAACGAATTTATACTACAAGGACTTATTTAGTGTTTGTACCATCTGATTTGTCAGTTTGTATTCCTCCGTGTAACTTCAACATTGCATAGATGCCCCATGACCTGCCAGTCATGCTGGTGTGACCACTATTACAGGTATTCTAACTCAATCATTAGTAACAGTTGCTATAATACAAATATTACATAGGTGATTATCCAAATTTTCACCATCGATAGGATTTGAACACCCAACCTACTACTTGGAGGGTTAACAACCTGACCACTTCACTAGGTTACCACATCCTATTTGTATAATTTAACAAAAAAGGTGGTTTGATCTATTATATATAATATATAAAACTAAGTTAACTATTTATAAAATATAGAAAATAAAATAATTTTAAAAATATCAATACAGTTAAATCTCTTTATAATCATTTTTTCTATAGTTATATTTATTTATAATTATATAAAATTTTTTTTAAATAAATAATTAATTATTTAGCTAATCAAACTAATAATTTTTTATTAATTAGTGATTTTTTAAATATATATATAGTTTATAAGAATACAGCTAGTCATATATACAACTTTAGTTATTATTTATTTAAGAGTTTTGGTCTAAAGTTATTTATTATTTGTTATATCTGATTTTTGCTTGTAGGTGTCCTATTTAAATTTTTTGAATTATCTAATCAGTATTTGTATACTTTTAACTATTTTATTTTAAGACTAAATAATCCTGTTGTTACTTATTATTAGGGATTATTTAGATTTAATTTTATCTTTTTTATGTTAGTATTTAAACTATAGCAAAATCTTTTATCTGGCAGTAAGATGCAAGAGACTTATCTGTTAGTTTATCTACTTACTTTACAGACCTTAACAGAGTTGTGCTCTTGCAAAGTTTATTCAAATCTCAATATTATTTTATAACATATTCTTACTACTTTGTATATTTCTACTTTTATTCTTTGATTTTAATTCAAATAATTTATATAGAACTACAACTAGTCTATTAGTATATTAGATTATTACAATATTCTATTTTTTTGGTTTTCTTAGTTAGAATTCTAACAATCTAATTGGTAATACTCTTCATTTAATGTTTTTGCTTATCTAGTTTCTTTATATTGATGCAATTATACCTCTATATAATCACCTCTTATATAATCACAAACTTTATATAATCACATAATTTTATGTACCAATTATTTTATTATTAAAAACCTCTCTTTATAATCACAAATAACTTATAATCACTATCATATTTTTTTAGAATTAGTTAAACGATTTTGATAATAAACCTATCTCTTTATAATTATATCTATATATATTCATAAATAGTTTCTATATAAATAAGTTAAATATTTATTAATTAAATTGATCTTTATGCATTAAGTAAAGTTGTTCATGAGAACAAAATACATATATTTTAAAGTTTTTATACAAATTGGTTAACTTTTTATTAGTATGTTTTTTTATTTTACATATGTACAAATAGAATTAAAAAATTAAAATTTTTTTATTAGAACTATAAAATAAAGAAGTGTATTAATAAAAATTTGACTGATTTATATAAAAATTTTAGGATAAATGTAATTTACTCTTCTGAACAAATTTATTTATTATATAAAAGTCAATTTCTTAGTAAATATTTAACTTATATATATAACAATAATTAGCAATTATATATAAAAATTTTTTAAAAAACTTTTTATATATAATTGCTAATAATTGTTATATATAGAAATAAAATATATATTATGTAAATCAAACTTTTATATAATAAATAAAATTGTTCAGAAGAGTAAATTGCATTTATTCTAAAATTTATAAATAAATCAGTCAAATTTTTATTAATGCACTTCTTTATTTTATATTTCTACTAAAAAAAAATTAAAATTTTTAATTTTATTTACATATATATAAAACAAAATAACATACTAATAAAAGGTTAACTAATTTGTATAAAAACTTTAAAATATATGTATTTTGTTCTTCTGAACAACTTTACTTAGTACATAAAGATCGATTTAATTAATAAATATTTGACTTGTCTATATAGAAACTATTTATGATTATTATATAAAAGTTTTTAAATTAATTTTTATTATATTTTACTTCTATATAATTACATATATTTAGAAATTTTATATAATGTAATTATATAGAAGTACCTTTATTTAGTCACATCTCTATATTATCACTACATTAGGGTGTGCTCAACTGCATGATTATATATATAAAGAGATGACTGTATTTACTTTTTAGATTTAATCTTTAAAATAATATTATTAAAATTTTATATTATTTTTTTATTTAGATCTTCTCAAATAAATTTTTTGTTTTTTAATTTCAATGAATTTACATAATTATAAAAACTTATTTTGAGTTTGTACTGTCTAATATTAGTTTGCATTTTTTTATATAACTAGTTATACAAATATCTTATAACTTGTTAACTATATTAATATAATTATTATTCAAATATTTTAATTTAATTATTAGAAATAGTTATTATAATGCAAATAAAAATTTAAATTTTTGTTATCAGTAGGTTTTGAACTTCTAACTTATTAGTTAAAAAAGTAACAATATCTCTATTTTACTAAATTATTATATGAGGTCTTTGTTTGAAAATGATCCTATAGGAGGATGGTGATTTTGGTGTAGTGGTTGGATTGTTATCCTTTAAGTGACAGGTCTAAGGTTCAAATCCCACCTATGACAAAATTTGGTAATTAACTTATGTTACAGTAAACTGTCTCTTATCGATCAGTTAGATTTAGGTATCTGTAATCTTGGGTACAACTAATTAGGTTCTACTAATCATTGGAAGCTTAGAGCATCTATGCAATATGTAACGTTATATGTACATAAAGAAATGTTAATAACTGGTGTTACATAAGACTTTGATACAAACCTACGATAAGACCATCAGATGTAAAAGATCAAGAAACCGAAAAGATAGAAGTTCATTTAGAAATTCTTGAGTAAAGAGTAGTACAAACCTTTGACAGTGCTATTGTACTGATAAAAGCCCAGAAAATCCCAATAAGGAATAGGCAGACATGTAACTGGATGAAAAAATATGTAGAGGAACACATGACCAACTAGGTTGCTGGAATCACTGAAGGAAAAAGATACTAAGGTATACTATATTAAGCTATCTGAATTGGGAGTCTGAGGAGTCTGTTGGATTCTGAGTTGAATAGTAGGGGGATGAAGAGAAAAAGTTGAAATAATAGATACCAGGGTTTAGGTAAACTTTACAAGGATAGAAATAGTATAATGTAGTAGTTAAACAGATAACTTCTGTAACTACAAGTATTAGATAACTATAGTATATTATATAAAACTAGGTCAGCTATATATGGGATATGAAAGGCTCTAGTAATGATGCTTCTAAAGATACACTATATGAAATAAGGTATAGAGTCCTAAGGGAAATAGATAAAAGTATCTAGACCTTCTTGACTGACAGCTATATTAGAGATGATCTAATAACACAGTAAGGATTGCAATACAGAGAGTTTAAATAGGCAATGCCCCTAGTTGAGTTGCAGGTATGGCAGCTAGTATAGAACCATTGACAGACTACTTAAATTAGACACCAAAAGTATATATATAACTAGTTGTATTCTCTAATATAAAGTGACTTCTTTGAGGCTTTAGTCATAATTCCCTATATCCAATTTACTGAATAAAACCCTAGACTTAAAAGAAACTAGTTTAATATCAAAAAAAAAGATCCTATAGAATATAGTAATTACTATATTCTATAAAGTCATTTTCAAAATAAAGACTTTATATCTTCATATAAAATTTTAAAACTAGTTTATATAACACTTATAAAATTTAATTTTTATATAAATATAAACTCTTTATAAGTACTAAATTATTAAAATCAAAAGTATAATTATAGAAAAATTTGATTATATATATTAAGTATTTTAAATATATTTGATTTTGAAAATGTTTTTATAATACAATGTGAATTGTATATGCAAAAGATTTAAATAGACAAGGTTTATAATTAATTTGTAGATATAACATTTAGTATAAAACCTGTATAATAATATATAAACAGATTATTTAAATTAAATACTAAAAGTACATATATAGTTAGTTGTAACCTTTTATATAAAGAAGTTTTTAAAAACATTAATATTTATAACTTAAATAAAATATTACTTTTTAAAAATAAGAATTCTAATTTAAAAAAAATAAATAAATAATATAGAAATAAATTGTATTACAAAAGGTTTAAATAAATAAAATTTTTAATTATATTGCAAATATATATAATATTTAGTTTTTAATATAAGAATCTAAAATAAATTGTTTAAATTAAACATTAGAAGTATATATTTGATTAGTATATATTTTACAATATAAAAATATTTTTGAAAACATTAATATTCAAATACTTTAAATAAAATCTTGTTACCAAAATAATAACTTTGAATATAAAAAAAAAATTTAAAAAATATAAATTATAAGTATATTTTTAATAATATTTTAAATAAATTTGTTTGAAGTTGATCTATAGTTTAAGAAATACGTATAATATAATATAAAAATAAGGTTTAATAATATGTTAATAATATTATTAAAATTTAAATATAATTTTAAACTTAATTAATTTTTATTTATTTTATTTTATTAAACTTTTTTTAATATAATTAATTAATATTTTAATTTTAAACATTGATTATGTAATTACTTAATAATCATTTTGTAATAAAAAATAAACTATAAATTTATAATATCTAAGTTGAGAGTTTCTTTTTAGAAAATTTTGTTTTAACTAATTTTTAAATCAACTTTACTTGATAGGACTAAAACATTAAAGGTTATTCGTGCTTTTTTTAAAAAAAATCGGGTATTAAACATATAACGTCATATACAAGACCCTTACAGTAATCGTAGACCCATTACGTAATATACCCGGGTCGAATCAAGTGATATATATTTAATCAAACTGAATGTTTTTCAAATATCTAGACTGCTTATTATATATAAATGCAAAATGTGCATACTCTTTAAATTTTTTTTTCATTTAAATAATCAGAAACTCTCGGTTATATACTAGACCCGGGTCTAAAATAGATTTTTAAATTAGTGGGAATGTAAGATACCCGGGTTTTATATACGATGATTTAAGATAGTGATAAGTTTTTTTTTTTTAGTATTATTAAACAAGATAATGTAAATTATAACAAAAATGAAATTATAATATAAGCAGAATAAATTAAAAAAAACATTATATAAACAAAATAAACAAAAATAAACAAATACGATTATTGTATTATAGTATAATACAGCATAAGCAATCAAATGAATAACTAATAATGTGTAGTAAAATTATTGATGTTTATAACGCTACGATTTATAAATGCAAAAGAATCGAATATGCGAGCATGCATAATGATAACATATTATATAACCGCATAGATATATCCCGAGTCAGATGAATTATAGTTTTGATACGTTTATGCCTTAGCAAAGACAAGAATTTACGTACGTACGTACGTACTTATTTGCACATTTGCAACCAAGGCATTATATATTAAGAAATTTAAAACGATAGTTTAGATTAGGATGATGAAATAGAGTAGGTAAATGATAAAAATTAACGTTACAAAAAAAGGAAACGGGTTATGAAAGACAATTAAGTAAAAATAGAGGGTATAATGAGGGTATCTAACTATAATGTAAATGTATATAGATATTTTTTTCTAAAGATGGATAGTGTACTAGGATCAGATAACCATGCATGGCAGATGTATCGAATAGTATTAGTGAAGTACAATAACAATAATAAAAAAAAAAGATTACGAAAAAGTGTATGCGAAATGAAGTCATAAATACCACAATCGGACGGAGATACCGAATATCAGAGTTTTTTTTTTTTTGAAGCATTGTTGTAAAAAGCATGACATGATGTAATTTAAATGAATGCTAGTACAATTATAGTGTACGACAAATAATAAATAGAATCTACAACAAAGACTAGGCAATATTTGTACAATGTAGAGACGAATTGACATAAAGGTTTCACCAGTGCCGATTAAAAGAAAAGCAACATGATAAAGTTATAACCGAATATCTGGAAAAGTTATTTATATTGTTACAAGACATAATAGTAAAAAGGAGGAGAATGAAGGCAGTAAAAGATGGTGAGAAAAAGTTGGCGGGAAAATTAAGGATGCAGATTAAAGAAGGGGAATCAGAATTTCGGAAGCGTGCATATTTGATGGGTTACACGAGGAAGTTTATAATAAAAAAGCACATTTTATAGAGTTTTTGTTACGTATTCTGTTATTTTCGCTTGTGTCAATAAAAATTCGACAGTAGATTAAGTAGGTTAAGTAGGTCAAGTAGATTAAATAGATTAAATGGATTAAGTAGGATAAAAATGGACTAAGCGGATTGAATATAATAGTAGACAACAAGAGGTACCTTTTGAGTTTAGTTAAGTGTGATATTGTTTCATAGATTAATTTAGTATAAGTAGTAGAAGTAGTAGTTATAATAATACGTAGTATGTGTATATGATATGATGTTTATGATGTTTATGATGTATATGTGTATATGTTATATGTGTATACACATGTTTATATACATATATATATACATATATATACATATATGTATATTGATATATATCAGGAATATATATATCAGATATATATAACGTAAGAGAGAAATTAAGAGAATTTAAGGGATCATGTGACGTAGACAGAACTAAAACTTAGACAGACCAAAGAAATGTATGACGCAATATAGATCATTTATTAAAGCTAAAAAAGCATTTTTATGAATCGTACAACTTTTGTAATCTTATAAATATGGTAATAAGAAAATGGACAGTATTTAACGTTAAAAGATTATTAAAGATGTTGATTTTGATATGATAAAGCAAGGTAGATACAGTAAGTGATAACAACAGTAGGACAATAAATTTGTTTATCGTTATGCAATATTCAGTTGAGGGATTTATAGAATATGTGATATAACAAAAAAAAAAAGTCATCACATTTATTTACAATAACAATTATTGACATTTATATATTTAATACATATTTTTATATATTTAATATTTATATACGTATTTAATATTTATATATTTAATGTCTATATATTTAACGTTTATATACATATTAACGTTAACGTTTAACTATTAATGTTAACTATGATTATTATATAAAAGATGAACTGGTTTAATTAATTTCAAAAATGAAAAAGTAATCGACACATTGATAATCATTTTCGGATAATTTAACGACGATCACGTAATAAATTGTCCAGACCTTGAGGACGGACCATTCATTTTTTTAATTTCAATAAATTATTTTCTTCCCAGATTAACCAAACTTAAATTTTTTTGGGACATATTAAAGATATGAGTCAAACAAGTTAGAGACAAGTCAGAGACAAGTCAAAGGCAAGTCAGAGACGAGTCAGAGACGGGTCAGAGACGGGTCAGAAACGAGTCAGAAACGAGTCAGAGGTAATTATTTAAACAAAGATAAAACAAAGGTAATAGAAAAAAAAAGGAAAAAAAAAAAAAATTCAAATATATATGGACTTTCATCGATGAAACATCATGTTTAGATACATAGACAGTATTGTCAAAAATACAAACCAATGATAACGATATTGAAAGTCTCGAAAGAAATTCCAGAAATAAATTGAAATATAATTGGGTTGTATTACATATTTTTTAAGGTATTAGATCTACAAGCATTATAAATTCCAGAAATAAATCAAATATAATTGGATGGTATCACATACCTTTAAGGTGGTAGATCTTCCCAACTTCTGGGTTAATGGGTCAATTGACTTATACATGTGATCAAAGTCTTGTGAAATTATATTCGTTAATTTTCTAGCATATTCCGAAGAGAAGAAAAATTTTGAATAAAGATAAAAAAATGAAAAGTGAATAAAGGAATAAAAAAATTTAACTCTCAGTGAATGAAAAAGATAGGTGAAAAGGATAGGCGAAAAGATGAAAAGGTCTGAATAAAAGTCAAGTCAGAATGAAGGAATGAAAATTTATGGATGAATGTATGAGAAATGTATAAGAAATGCGAGTTCGTCTTTAAACAAGATATTAAACAAGATATTAAGCAAGATATTAAGCAAGATGCTTTTACAATATTATTATACCCATCATATAAAATAAGAAAATAACAATATAATAATACGACAGAGATTAGATCAATTATTAAGTGGCATGTCAGGATGAATTACCTTAAATTTTTTTTTTTTTTTAAATCTCTTTATGGGGAACGTAATAAGTATTTGAAAAGTGGCACAAGATGTGGTGTGACATCATTATATCGAAATATCCCCCGGTTGACCGTTGACAAATAATTTTCCTTTTAAGATTTAGAACTGTGATGTAAATTTAACATTACGATAGTCATACGATATTCATCACGATATTCATCACGACGGTTATCACCATGGTTATCATAGTCGTACAATGACCCTTTTTTTGAAGGTCAATGTTCTAAAAATACAATGTAGGTCACCTTTCCTTGTTGATAAACTTATGAAACTTATGTAAGCATGGTTTCAAAGGGTCCGATTATTCAACCAAAGTTGTTTAAACCCCAAATTCTATAATGTTTGTGATAATATTATTTCGATATTATTTCGATGATATCATTAGTATAAATTCTAATATACAAACAATTAGAATTATTAAAATAGACTAAATAAAAAAAAAAGTTCAAAGTAATACATATAAAAAGATTTTTTTTTTTTTTTTTTTTTTTTTTTTTTTTTTTTTTTTTTTTTTTTTTTTATTTTTAAAAAAAAATATATTTGTTTTATTTTGTTTTTGTTTGGTTTTTTTTTTTTTTTT